ACTCCTAACTTACAGCCATTTCAGAAAGATAGCACTTTTCAATTTGTTGTGACACTTTAGCAAGCACATTTCATTTCGCTTTTCCAAATGATGAATTTGTTTACATATCAGTTATCAATAGCAATCAAATATCAATATTTACCGAGCCCAAGTGATCTCCAAATTGAATTCAGGATACAATTTCGCTTCTTCTGTTCGAAAGCTTCTTTACTTGCTTTTCAGACTTTTGTGCACAGATTGTAGAGATTCGAGTATTCTTTACCCTACATGCTTTTCATATGAAACTGTAAAATGCCCATCCATAGATGCAGAACGAACCCCGGCAATTAAGCTGTATTTTGCTTGATCGGCCTGCATGGGTTCATATTATAAATATATATTGTGCATGCGTTATACATAGTGCCTCACAGTAATATCACTGCCTATTTGTGGACACACGGGGTATCATGAAGTTTCGCCCCATTGCATACCATCTAAATATGTAATGATTTTGACGGGAAAGGGATACATTCTGCCATAAGGAGACGAGTTGAGGGATTTGGAGGCGAAATGGTTAGGGTAGTGGCGAGTTTGGTCAAAAAGTATGGCCAAAGCCTCCATAAACCACGCACATACGTACACGACATCTGACGATCACACCTTCTCGACTTTATAGGTTTCCAAATATCAAAATATTTATTTAGTATTTCCATACCTTTGATTTGTAGGGTACTGGCGGCCTTGAAGAATCCATAACCAGTAAATACTGAGCATACATACGATCCAGCGTGGGATTTTTGGACGTTGTCAAAATGGAGAGTGTCACCATTTACGACACCTTTAGCTAAAGCATCTCCAAGCTTACGCCAGGTCGTTTTCGTGACATATGACCATCAACCCAGCAGTGAAAAGTTGCTGATTTGTTGACGGGAACTACCTGCGATTTGGGAAAAACATGGACTTTTGGTGCAACAACAAGATGTCCTTTCGGTCCACGAATTCCATTAGAACCTTTTATTCCCTTACTGCCCTTCAAGCCAATAGATCCTTTTTTCCCTTGAGGACCAGGTAAACCGGACTCTCCCTTAATCCCAGGTGCGCCAACAAAGCCTACGTCACCTTTCTCGCCTTTTACTCCAACTGGTCCTTGCTTGCCACTCACGCCTGGGGCCCCACTTAGACCCATAAATCCTCGTGGGCCAGGGAGCCCCGGAGGCCCTGGCTCTCCTTTGTACCCAGGATACCCGTGAGCACCGGGAGGGCCTGGAGGTCCCATTACGCAGATTTTTTTGTGGCGTTGCAAGCTCGATTAAACTGATTGTTGATTTCACGGCGAACATCTTGTACAGTAATCTGAGCAGTGTTTCTTTTTCTTCTTTGGAGATCGTTATTTCCTATTTCTTTACAGTTTTTTTAAATCTAAAAAAAAGTAAGATAAAAAAGCAGTTGAAAAAAAAAATGTCACTGCTTACGACTGTAAAACAAACCACTATTTAGTTTTTGACAGAGTGAAAGGGCTGGACCGGGAACTATTTAGCTCAAGGTCATGAAGAAGTCAGGACCAGTCAAGAAGTATTTTGTCGTATCACTGTCGTTCTTTCTGGCGGGGCCGTACGTCATATAATAAGCAGAACTGGTTTATCATGTTAGATTTTAGCGTTTCCTCATGAATGCCACCCTTGCCTCATACCACAGGCGGAACACTCTACGAGTGTGTTGACATGCAAAACAAAATTAGTCAAACCAATGAAAGATAAAAAATAAAGAATCCTTTGAAGAATCGAGATTTTCGGATCTTTTAGTGTCATCAAGCAAATAATACTAACAAAATTTTACTCATTTGCCTTTGCTTGACGTTATTTTCCTTGATTGATTCAAAAAGGCGAAATTTCATGGCCGCATTTTGAGATGACAAGACGCAGAGTTTACGCTGAAAAGAGACCAATGTGTCCACTAGATTTGGCTATGGACGCCGTTTTAACCTCTTCTTTGATGGACTGCTCGATTCATAGAAGTCTGGGATATTTTCATTAAGAGCGCAATAAGAGTTTTCTATAACCTTAATACTCAACAGGGAGACCAAAGGCCTACTTTAATCCTGCAGGAACCTAACACCTCTTTTATTTTCATCAATTTCACTTTGCATCGTATAGGATATTTCGATTACGGTTTTCTTAGACATCGATAGTATAGGAGGTTACTATATTGTTGTTGTTCAACTCGGTCGCTTTTTCAAAGTCAGTGTTAGGTTATTAAAACATCGGGGAATGAGTCTATCTAATCACCCGGCGTATTCATAATCCTTATGTAAACAATGACTGTGCTGGTAAGGTATCGATTGTCCCTACTTGACTTATTCTACACCAATTTCATTGTCATATAAATGAAGGGGTGCAATATCCTCATAAAGTTAAAGTTTTCTTTTAAAGTGTTGCCATCATGGAGTGAAATATGAAGTGGAAGAGAAATAAGGCTTCAAAAGCATTAGAACATTGAGTCTAGATTAGTCCTTAGATTGAACAGGGCTATGGTCTGCGAACACTGACTTCTTCACATCAATGTAACAACCGATTGTTTTTTAACATGATTCAATGACACGTAAATGAGAGCTTAGATTTGCAAATAGCCGCTCACTCACCCATCAACGTTTCCTTTTCGTCTTCATCGTTTTCGTTCTTTGACGGTCCAGTGATTTTCATGTGACTTTCCACGTCAGAGATTCGCAGCTCGTTCATTTTTGTTCGTCTGTTTATTGTTTCCATCCTCATGAAGAGCGCAACTATAAGCAGCATGGAAACAAAAGAAAGAACCGTAGAGGTTCTGTAGAGAACGATCTCTGAGCATATTTTTGCAGGTTTCTTCGCAGAGTCCATTGTAGTTTTTCAATACTTCTGGTAAACAACTTGCCTAATAAGACGACGTGGGAAGTGATCTTTGTATTTCAACTGACTGCTTCAGCTTCCTGTGTTTCTGATCACGTCTCCGCTCGATCTGATCCCTGCGTGTATTCCTGTGTCACGAGACCTGATACGATAAAGAAAAAATAGCCTACTCTGTTTGTGTTGCGTTACCTGTTACTTGCGACAGATATGCGATTTTGATTTGCAAATCGTGCTTCAGTATCATTCGATAAACCTGAACAGCCACTAGTTTTGTTATCTATTTCAAATACAAGGTATACCTTTTAGAGAGTAGAAATTAATTTGCGGAAAAAGTGCACCAAAACTATTTCCTGTAGGTCACATAAGGGCAGATGAAGTTTCATGTTGAAAGTCCTTCGAATGCCGCACTTTTCTTCGGCAGACTGCTGCAAGAACTCGCGTCCACTCTTGAGACGGCTTTCAGTCCATTCTGAAGTGACGTGAGCTCACGCAAAGCTTGAGCAGTAAGGTTCACGCTATTTTACGTGAAACTTGAAAGGATAAGCTAACGTTTGCCGTCTCACGTAAACGCAGTGCTAAATCTCTTACTTGTCAATCTCTGGTTCTCTCCTATCGACCATTGTAAGTAACGCTAACAAATGTGACTTAATACATTCCTCAGTCTGCCTACTCTCTTTCCACGGCATAGGGGTCGATAAAGGAGCAATGCACATTTCGTCTAAAGTCAGAAAATCTACTTTATAATTCTCGTTTAATTCCTTCGGTTCCTGTTGTGAAATTTACTGTACAAATGGCCAAATTGAACAGACTTGTAAAGACTTGAATTAGGACTGAAAACTTCGCTTGCTGTTTTACAACGAAGAAATTGTTTGAGAGAATTCAGTTGTTGGATGAATGAAAGTTCCGTCGATTAATTCAGTTATAAATAAATATCTTACAGTTTTAACTTTATGAGTAACTTTTTTGTGAAGGATTACAGTTAATTAAAAACTGTTTATAGGTCGCGTGTCAATCATTTAATGACACACTTGCTACCACAAATTAATTTATTTCGAAAACAATTTTTTGCTGGCAAGCAAAGTGATTTGAGATAGAGAAAAGAGAGGATTAATAAGTTATTAGTCGGCTTGACTTGCTTATAAATACTAACCAGCCGGCAAAACAAAATATATACATGAAAAATGGCAAAGAAGCTGGGGATGTTCTCGGCGACTCACGAAAGCGTTACCGCGCCCGTGGACAGAGATAGGAAAATACGGACGGCGGTAAGAACCAATCATATCGCGGGATTCGTTACCGTGCCCTTCGAGAAAGAAATAAAAGATAATGTGTACAAAAAAGCTTACGCAGTTTTCTCTTTTTATTTTTTCCCCCAAAATCATTTTTAACCAATCTGTTCACGGATCAAACTGACATCATCTTAATGTCCAACGTAAATGGTGAAATAATATTTTCTTTAATTAGTAATGTTCCTTTATATTTGTTGGTTAAGTCGGAATTGAGATATAGCTTTCGCAATTTTTATTTGTAAGATGGGCAGACTTATTCAAATAAAACATTTCCACTGGTTTTTTCAATTGTCTGGCGCTCGTAATCACAGATATACTAATTATAATAATTACATCTACTTCACGTAGAAGAAAAAAATTACACAGAAGAGGAGTCTACAATTATTTTTGAGTATATTCAATTGCCTCCTAACCGACATTGAAACCAAATTTTAGTAGTTAAGTTTAGGATCAAGTCAATTGGTAGCAAGCGTATCTGAAGTATTTTTCCATTATCAGTTCGCAAAGATAACAATTGACCAAATCTAAAAAAATACACCTGCTGATGATATGTCAGAGCCTGTGCAGTGTTGAAAGAGAGCTTGCGTTCGGTTTAAGAAAATGTATTTATAATGCTAAATACGCCCGAATGAACTGAAAATGATCGATACAAAATAAAATCAATTCAAATACAAGGATTTCGAATTTATTTTTCGAAGCCTCAATGTTAGAGAAAGAATCGTCATCACTTCTTATATAAAAACGATACTCATTCGATTTTAGTTCACAGAGAAAGTGAATATGATTCATGTCAAGCCGATCAAATGATAAATTATAATTGACAGAAACTCGTGGCTTCACAGGATCGAACAAAATCCATCCTACATACAGCTGTCGATTTTGATTCCTTGTTATTTGCGAAATTAAATGGGATGTTTGCTCTCTTAAACTAACAGTCAAGAATTGCAAGAATTAAAAGGAAAAGATACCAACGAAGACTAATCTCTACCTCACTAAAAAAGAATCTTCTGGCAAAAATATATGTTACGCATATCATTCCTTTCAACCCAAATGGAGAATGATTTCTATGATTCAACGGGACGTCCTTGGAAAGAAGCAAACTTTGATCTTAAGTATTTCTGGGCAGTGTTCGTTGCGCTGACAGCGCTAGCTACAACGTTTGCAAACGCGTTGGTTCTTCTTGCTGTATGGAAAGATCCTAATAAGAATTTGCAAAGATCTCCGTCTAATTTACTTATCGCGAGTCAAGCGATAGCTGATTTCTTTGTAGGTTTGGTACAAGAGCCCTTGTGTGCCTGGTGGATTTTAACGTTTTCTTCCATAGCTGTTCACGCCATCGAAGCCGTGAGTTCTCTGTTTTTAGTTTCTTCCGTTTTACACGCTGTGGCATTGTCCTTCGATCGATACGTGGCTGTAGCGAGACCATTACAGCATAACGTTACTATTACGAAGAGACGAGTCTTTCTATGGATTCTGGTTATCTGGATAAGCAGCATCGTCTACATGTCGTATCGGACGATCCTGAGAGAGCTCAACTACTCGATCACGCTGATTAATATTATATCTGGGGCTCACACTGTGCTTCCGTCAGTTATCAGCGTCTTGTTCTATATTCGCCTTTACTGCATGTTAAAAAATCTTCGTAAGGGGGCAAGAGACCTTGACGAATCAGGGAAAATGGTCATCAATGCGTACCAAAGAGAACGCAATATGACAAAGGCCATGGTGGTTGCACTGTGTTTGTTTTTATTCTGTCTGACTCCCTGGTTTGTGTTCTACCAAGTCATTGGTGCATGTCCCACGTGCGAGGAACACGAATCTTATCAAATGTACTTATTTGCAATATTTTATTACATCTTTACCATGAAATCTTTGCTGAATCCATTCTTGTACGCGTGGCGCCTCCCAAAATACAAAGCGGTCTTCAAAACTCTGTTAAAAACGGGAAGAAATAACCATCGACGAATCGAAGTGATAAACTTATCGGAAACAAGCTGAGATGTAAATATGCTCCACAAATGAGACCCCACGCTGAAAAACAACTTCAGCACAGGAAGGCTTTTAGTTGACGAGGCAAAAATCGTTTCCCAAACGAGGAAAATAAAAACGTTTCCGTTGATTTAGCAAAAACATATTTTTAAGCAGCTTAATATATGGTATGATTCAGACTTGCTTCAGTTCAAGGAGATACTAAGATATTAATTTACAAAGTTTTATTCCGTACTTTTGAAGTGTGCTAACAAGCTCAGAAGCAGTCAGCAATGAAGTGAAATGTTAATAATGCGATATCTATTGCATATTTCATAAAGTTCAATGGTGGTGGGGAAAATTCTGTCAGTTAACTAATTGATTCAGCTATAAATATCGAGAAATACCCAGTAATTATTCAACGAAGTAGAGGTGAATAGTGCCAGGTTTTAATTATTAAGCGGCAAAGCGGCGAGGCAAATATCCACCACTTTCACCGACACTAGGGTAAAAATTTTTTTAGTATTCGGCTGCTTTGAGAGGAATAGTGTTAATCACTTCGGAACAAGCCAATCAACATGTTAGATAAGCACTATTCGCCTGTGAAATATACACTAAAGCACTTATAGCTGTTCAGAACGTTTTAAGTCGCTCGAAGAATTTTTTGGTGTCTAGCAACAATACACTTGTGGAACATTAGAAACATCATGATTAGGGTTGATAATAAAACTGGAGAAGCATGCGATCCATAAAGCGTACATTTTGTTATTGCAAGTTTCCCATGACAAAATTCTTCGCCCTTAACCGCCCTTATTGACAACTAAATGACGAATGTTATGATAACGCACAGGTTAAGGATGTTTGAACATTCTGTTGTGTTTTATGCTCTAAAAATCAAATTTACATTTAAATCATTTTCCACCCCTAGAGCTCTAAAATCAACTTTAAATTCAAATCATTTGCTACCCCTGGCGGAGGAAATGTCACAATATATACTTCCATTTCCAAATGGGTATAGAATATTGATTCATATTAAGGGATGTAAGGTCGTTTTGCGAATTTCACTGTCATTAGCCCTCTTTGAAGGTAACCAAGTTGATCTGTCCTTTGCATTATTGGCTCAATGTACGGATCATTGTTGCAAGTCTGCTAAGATCTAGCTCACATTTCATTTTGCTTTTACTGTATGTTAACTATTTGTTAAATTGATCAAAATTATGAATTGAAAGGGTATGAAATAAATAGAACGCTAATGAGGGCGCGACCGAGGGAAGATTTTTCAATTTTTTTTCTTTTATTCAAAATTAAAGAAAAAAAATAGCATATATAACTTTCTGACTACCTTGCTTAAATTGCATTTATTCAAATTGAGTATGATACATTAAGTAAATTCTTCCTTTGCAATTTAACTAGGGATGTTAAGATATTCTTTTGATATCCGTTCATGCACACAATAACTTCCCGAACTAAGTTTCTCGAAAGAGGAAGGCAAATTGATAACATATTCCTACAACTCCATCCAACTACTTGCGACTCATTTGTAATTCATACATAACGAAATATTTACTTGAAAAAAAAAAAATTTTCTGACAGTAGTTATTTCCTCCGTGCTTCGTGCAGAGCTTTCAATTAATTTTTGATCTGAAAACTTCCCCCTCAGTCGTAGGGGGCAGAAACGCAGGAAAACAAAGGGGAATGCCGACAAGACAACCCAAAACAGCTGGGTGCTATTAATTTGAACTATGACATCCTGTCACTTTATGCCCTAAACCGCGCAGACGTGATAAGAAATGCATTTAGACGCAAAATTACCAGCGGTTCGCAGTTGCCTCAATACGTTTCTGCTTTTTACGTTTAAAGCCTTCTTCATTTGACTCTCTGACTGAAAGTGCTATCTAAAATGTACCAGCGTATCTTCAAGATACTCCTTCTTATTTTGTCTCTTGTGGGTAAGTAGCGTATTCAACTCATAGACCACTTTCCCTTCGAATTTCAAATATTTCCTGAGAGTGTTCCATCTTAGATAAAGCGAGACACAAATCAAATCTTAGTGCTCGCGGTATGACGTTAAACTTGCCTCAGCCCTTTGCGAACGGGAAAATATATGAATGCAGCTGAAGCATAAATCCCAGCAGAAATGATTTTTAAACTACATAAACTTGTAGCAAGATTTTCAAGAAAGAATATCGGATTTTACTCGAGCGTCGCTTCCATCGCGTGACTCAATATCATCCTTCGACTCTCTGCAATCTGCATTTCTTATCAACATAATTCTGCGATTATTGATTCTTTAATCCCAAAACCTCCTTTCGCAACACCAAGTTTAAACCGAACAAAATCTGCGGGGCTCCAACTTCCAACCCAATGAAATTTAGACCAAGTCAAAGTAGGAAGTTGGCTTTTATTTTTTTGTTGTGTTGTGGCGGTAGGAAAACAAGAAAACCTCTATTCCAGTGTCTTTGAATAATTTGAATAACTTGCAGATCGTGAAATGTTACACCTGTCACTAGATCTTTAAGTGTTGGTAAAATTTGCATTCTGTTTTTCTAATGACGTCATCGAGATGCATTTCTCAAATGTAGAAGAACATTTTGAAAATGATCTGACGTCCAATTTTTTTTTCCTGTCTTTTTTTTTTTCTGTTTCTCCAACAAAGTGTTTTGGTAAACCTTAATGCAGTGAAATGAAACGCAATATAAAACCAGCCTAAAAAACAAATTAGAAGACGAAAGGGAATGTAGCCATTACTCAGCAGAAATCAATTTACCAAACACCAAAATTTTTGTTTTTCATCTCAGATAATATTTTGAAAGAGATCGAATTAAAAAAGGCTATATCTTCGCACAGTTTTATACAATGATAGCGGTATCTGACAAAGACCATAAGAACAGGATCAGGACTTTCTCACTATTCTGCTAAATAAAGATACTATACACTATTTTGAATTTCAGGATTCTATCAATTAACCCTAACGGGATAATGGCCTGGCATTTATGTTTTTCGCTTTTTCTATTTATTTCCTTTTTTTCCTAGATCTAAAGCTGCGCAAACAATTTTTAAGCATTTTAAAATATCTTTGATACTTTTGTTTCATTCCGAACCAAAACAAAAACTTTTTTGGGTTAATTTATCGCAGATTAGAAGCCGAGCTATAAAAGCTAAATTAGATCAAAAACAGAAAAGAAAGTGTTAGAAAATAAGTCAAAAGTAAAGAAACGACACGCGAAAAAAAGAGGAGGTATGAACGACGATATAGTGATCTGTTTTGTTGTATTACACCTTTTAAGTGGCTCCATTTTGGCGGTCCAGTTGAGAGTTTATCAAATTAAATATTTATTTCCTTTTCCGTAGTTTTCCAATTTTACAAATTCAATGTATGAAGACTTTAGTAGAAAGTAAAAACTGGTTTTTAAGCCGCAAACGGACACTGATGCTCTGACCATATCTTCCGTGATATATATATTAAATAAATATATATCTTGTTTTCTTGTCAAAAAGGGGCTCTTTTGGACGAGAAGAGAAAAAGAATATATATTTGATAAATATTTTCAAATTTGCAATGTTTTAGAAAACAGGTGAACTCATATATATCAGCAATCGATAAAATGGAACATCTCACTTTCCATAAAAAGAAAATTAAAATAAGGAAACTAGAGCAATTGGTTTCATCTTTTTATTTCCAGTAAGGGCTTCTGATAAACTCCTCCTTAAGCTTTTTCTTGCTCAGTCCGAGTGAATCAGTCAAACTTTTCAAAAAATGTGCGAAGTCACTGTTAGGCAAAAAACACTTTTTCCTATGGTGCCCGTCGCTCGTACTCTTAAATTACAACGAATTAGCTCTTCGTAAGCAGAAATTTTTTCTCGAGCAAATGAATAATTTTGTTTCTCTTTATTTACAGCGCTCTTTTCCTTCAAACCTGTGCTGTGCGTCTTTCAGTGCAGTATTTCTCTTGGTGATAAGAACCTTACAAGATCTCCTATTACTGTGGTAGCAGTTTTGAACTGTACAATTAGTGGCCGTTCTGCAAACGCTTTCAACTGGACAATTGATGGGAAACAAGTCAAAAAGGAGCATATACTACTGGATCCAAAGGAGAATAAGAAATGGTCCGCTGTTGTTCTCGAAAATATGACCAAAGAAGCAGAGAGATTTGAGTGCAAAGCGAAACGTGGCGAGGAAATGGCTTCGTGTTTTGTTTATCCTGGTAAGGCATTGTGTTCTAAGCAATTCAAGCTCTAAAAATTCCTTTTAATTTACACTTTCTCCATACTTTCATATTCTTTAATATACATCCGGAATAATAATACCAAATGAAGAGTTCCTTTAATTTGTATGCAAATGAAGGGGGGAGGTTTTCCGCCCAAGGACACGCACATTTAATTGTTTTTTTCCTCCTCATAAAAAACTAAGCTGAACAAGTATGATCCTTTCCTGAACGGATTAGATCCAATTTTTCACAAGACTACGACCTCTGATAAAAGCTGGACCCTATTCATTTTGGCGACAGATAATTGAAAGAGGTATCGAAATTTTCGGGAAAAGTATTGTACCCGTTAAATAATGGTGTAAATTTGAAAGAAAATACCAACCAACAAACAATATTTCTCGTAACTCATTATAAGCTTCGTTGCATGCTCTTTATGGGGCATAGAAAATTATAGCGTGATTTTGAAATTATTTCTACCCAAAAACCGTTTGAAAATCAGAAGGGGAGACAAGTGTAAAGCAACTGAAATTTTTTAAATTTCAACTTATTCCTCAAACGTCAGTTGCCCTTAACTTATTTAATTAACCACTGCTAATTTATGCCTGATGAAATGGCGAAGAAAGCACAAAATTTTTATTGCAAATTTGTTAAAATGTTAAAAGGCTCCTGAAAAATTGGTCTTTTTTAATCGAAAAAGTGGTCGATATTTTATCGATGAAAAGAAATGGGAATTCTAAAACAAGAAATAAGTGTCAAAAATATAATACTGTTTCTGCCATCCTCTTGTACAATCTGAAGAGTTGAAAAGCGCCTTTAGCGATG